ACTACTACTACTACTACTACTACTACTACTACTACTACTACTACTACGACTACCACTACCACTACCACTACCACTACCACTACCACTACCACTACCACTACCACTACCACTACCACCACTACTACTACTACTACTCCTACTCCTACTCCTACTACTACTACTACTGCTACTACTACTACTACTACTACTATTCCTGCTCCTGCTTTGGGGGGTGGCTTTGCCACAAAACTCTACCCCGCAAAAGGCGAAAGTTTGGCGAAAGTTCAGCTCAAGATTGGCGAAAGTTCACCCTGCCACATCTGACCCCCAGCCCATTATGAGTAAGTTTGAGTGACCGGCTACTACAGTGATTCTTGCAATTTTGATTCTTGCTGACACCCAGGAGAAACAAAAGAGACGTACAGGGTGTCAACAGTTAAGTAGAAGACACATGCTGACAAACAGTGAAGTTTCTATTTTGTGTTTGCCAGTAAAGAAGAAGCCATTGACGTGAACAAAACACAACATACATGGCACACATAAATACAACGTACTTCGGCGAAAGATAAAACGCAGGAAGGCGAAAGTTTGGCGAAAGTAATTTTTTTTGGCGAAAATGACGGATCCCGGATAAAGGAATTTAGATCAACTCCCATATATATATAATATAATGATATACAGTATATATACTATTCGGTTGGCAGTAGATGTGAAGTGTGGCATACGCAGAAGTCATGTATAAATATATATGAACAAGAAGCGGAATTCCAGGAAGTGGTAATATATATATATATTGTATCCATGTGTTTTCTTTTTTAGGAGAGTCGCGTTTACGCAGCCCCTGGGTCGGGACAGACAAGGGTCTGTCCGCATTCAGGGCACTTTGGAGAGACAGTGTGGGATCCCAATCAAGGTTGGGAGTGTCAGCTCTCCCCTTCCCCCTCCAAGTGGATGCATGTCACTCGCATGTGAAGAACCGGTTTCTTGGAACCGGTGACAAGGACGGTTAAGTTGGTTAAGCTCTATGTTCCGTACATGCCACATGCGATCTGTTTAAACATCACGGTTGATATCAATGATGGTCGCTTCGAGAAGCCTGTCAACTTCTCATGTTCTCGATTTAAGTCTTCACTTTGACGCGGAGTCCAGCAAACACATGCAAAGACGTTATGTTTTTTTGTGATTCACCAAGGATAGGCACAACAAAGCAAGCCAAAAAGACGAATGGCAATTCAGAATGCAGCAAGACCTGGTTCCTTGTGATGCCAGAGTATCGAATGAGTACTGAGTATACTGTTTATATAAATTGTCACAAATTTGTCCGCTTTCCCTACATCACTAAGGCACAGCATTGCGTGGTTTTGATCCTGTGGTATTGAGAGACCAATTGCATCACTGTACACCCAAACAACAATCGTATAATATATATATATATTAATTGAGTCGAAAAAAAAACCGGGAATATGTGTTAAGTAAGGCATGTTCCCAGACGTTCAGAAATCGCTTGGCCACCGCTTGGTATTCTGGTGTTTAAAGTGGGTATGTTACCTCGTCGCGCTAGCAAAACGCAGGGTTGCGCTAGGTTCGCACTAGGTTTGGCGCTAGGATCAAGTACTTAGGTAACTTAGAAAAGATTAACAAACAAGAGCTGATTGTAACGGTCACTCATTGGTGCACATACACACACACACCCGCATAGGCACAAGAGCAGCAACTGTTTGAAAGGCAGCGCGCGCTGAAAAAGGCAGCAACTGTTTGAAAGGGAGTAACTGTTTGAGAGACGAGAAAGCGAGTTCTTGATCACAGACGTTTGGTGGCCTCATGCACTGGCAGGGAAGCGCGCTAGATCCGCGCTAGACCCGCGCTAGATCCGCGCTAGACCCCTTTGCAACTTTGACCACTTGTCCAAGTGCTTTCCAGGGTGTATAGTCTTGGCAATTTGTTTCTGTGTGCAAGAGGGTGGCTACTTTGAGCTTCACATTTGGAACCATTGGACTCTGTAAGTAAGAACGCAGCTGCTAAAAGGGCATACACAACATACAACCATATACATGAGCGCATGTTGGGTACATGATGGCCACCGCTTGGAATTGCTGTGATTCCAACCTAGGATAATGATTTTAGAACGGGTTTTTTTTTCACCTCAATTAATGATACACATGAACCCCTCTTCAACCATCCAGTCATGTGCACGTCATGTGGGTATATGTGGGTCATGTTTTGTACTGTACCTGGCATAGCTTCGGGTTGTCCCATATGCCGGTGGTCACAGATTCGAGCGGCGAATCTGCCGCTCAGATTGCATGCTCCATCCAGGCTGGAGATGAGGATCCAACATCCCCCAAATCCGGGACAGCTGAAGGTCCTCCACCTGACGCAACAGGCACGTGTGGCGCGGGTCGCAGCCGCTGGTCGCGGAATGTGGCAAGGGTGCGGCAGGTGATTTGGTGTTGGGAATCCTCAAAGATCCTTAAAACATACTATAGGAATCTATAGGACGTGGAATAGATGACAGGTGTCGAACATGTGGTACTGATGAGTGGCATGGTGTCAAGTAGTGAAACTTTAGAAAGACCTACGGCACGTGAAAGCAAGACAAGTGTCACCAGTGTCGGTGTCCCCATAATTGCAAGATAGACACCCCCCAGAAGAAGAAGGTGAAGAAGTATCATGATCATATATATATATATATATATCTTAAGACCCGACTCGTGTTGTTCTCTGTCTCAACCATCAACGACTCCTGTGCATGTTTGACCAGTGCACCGCTCCTCCACCGCATTCCCGATGCACTTCGTCCGTTCGGACGTCGCCGGGGCGAACGGACCGTCCACCGGGCGCAGGTGAAGATGTGGTCATGAAGGACGAGGAAGGTGCGAAGCCAGAGAAGCCACAAGAGAAGCCTGAGAAGCCTGAAGATCCTGAAGAAAAGATAGAAGAGAAGAAGGTGCGAAGTCAGTTCGAAGGGTGCCGGTTGCGAGTGAGGGACGCTTCGGCAATTTGCGGCAAGAAAAACAGAGCAACACATGAAACATGCAGATGAACAAATGAAGAGTTAGTGTTATTGTTCTTGCTGATTGTTGTAATATGTTGTAATTAATTGATGGTTTCTCTGTCCCTTGAGGTGACCATTTGTTTTCTTGCTTGGATCCAGTCGTAACATTAAGTGTATTTAAAGCAATGATAGGGCGATGGCACACACAGCCATCCATTTTCTGCACACTTGCATCCGCAAGCTGTTCAGGTCCGATGATGCATCCTTCCCCATCCGTCCCACCGCCCAGAGCGAGAGGGGTGTTTCCACGGGTGTCCATCTCAATGGACCAACTCACTGCTTGGTAAATCGAATGGTTTTCAGTAGAGCATAGGTCTTTTAACATCTCTCAACCTATCCAAACATCTCCAAACCCTTCTGGCACCACCACGGAACCTGCCAGGAGCCACCACCTGATGGCGATGGACCTCCCTCAGGGCCTCCAGCTGAAGCAGGAGCCGATGGACCACCGGCTGGACCTCCTGCAGCCGGCCCCTTCGCGGCGGCCGCCAGCCCCTTCGCCGCCGCGACGGCCGCCACCGCGCCGCCGGCCACGAACCCCTTCGCGCCGAAGGCCGGACGCGGAAGGGGAGTTTGACCGGGCGCAGTTCGAGGAAGTGCAATTTACTGGGCCAACAAGTCTCAAGTCTCCTTGAATGATTCGAAGTCCCATCCCTTCAAGCATCAGGGACAAGTCCCACCAACGGATTGTTCAGTGATGTTCAATGGATCTCGTGCTCGTGCATGGACTACAGCTGCTTGTCCTACTGTCCGACCATGTCCGGTGGGACCTCGTGGGACCGGTGACGTCCTGGAAGTGGTTTGATATGGTTTGACCCTGTCCAACAGCATCGAGCTAGCTGTGAGAAGCAGCAGCTTGAATATGCTTGAACAATCTTGAACATTTGATCAAGATTGTTTAGTTTGTCTACTAGTCTTGCAATGTTGCTCTCCTTCCTAATAGGATTTTGGCAGCTGGCTTAAAATATGCATAACAAGTTGATAAGTTGTGATTATCATCCCGGGTTCCTGAAGTATGTCAAGAAATGACCAATGGACCCATGTTTGTCTTGTTTTCCCCTCTTTCATCTCGACTCCGCATGTGCCGCACTCGCCACACAGGCCTTGGGCGGTGCTGCCACGAAGGTGGTGAATCCCTTCGCGCCTCGTGCCATGACAGGCGCCGTTGGCGTCGACGTGTGAGACAGAACGAGACGGAAAACCCATGGAGCGGTGAGGAGCGGTAGGTTACAGCGCCTGTCGACGAAGAGAAGAAGTTGGAACGTAGGAGAAACATGGAGAAAGTTTCATGACTATGACCCATGCCCTAGAGATCCTTCTGATTTTCGGGGTGGTATGTGAAGTGGTATAGGTTTGGAGGATGCAGCTTCGTCGTTGGATTATAAATTTGCATGAAGTCTGAAGTCCGTAAAAAGCTTCAGCTTGCTAATCGACAAGGGAGATGATCGACAAGAGATGTGCTCACCGAAGCTACTCGGTGCCGATCCTCACTTCCTTGTTCCTGCCAGGGCATCCAGGCAAACCACTATAGCTGGTAACCATGCAGTGGTTCCAGTTCGACTAAAGCCATAGACCTATAGAGAAACGCTCGTTCCTTCTATATAGTAACTGGGATCCACTGGCCCCCATTTGATGGCGATCACCTTTTCATCCCTTTCACCCCCACAGCCGAACGTCCTGAACAGGAGTCCAGAACGTTCGAGGAGGGTTGGGACCCAAGACGTTGTCGAAGTATGCCTCAAGAGACCTCCAGCCACCTGCCTTCCATGTCCTTGCGAGGTCGCCTGGCCGGTCCACCATCCGACACCAAATTCCCACGCCACACTGGCCAGGTGCACCGAACCCCAATGTACCGAAAGGCTTCAGGCGAGAATCCAGATCTTCACCGATCGAACCCCGGTCGTTCATCTCACCAGTGGTCTTGAAGGGGGCGCCGTTTTCAGCCAACAAGCCCTATGAGGTTGGAGTTGCAAGGATTTTGCTTGCTGGTGGCTTATGTATGTGGCTTCCTGGATGGAAAACTACCATCCAGTAGGTTTGGAGATGGTGGACATGGATGGACATGGCAGCCATGTCGGATGTGAGAGCTCCGGCTGTGTGTTGGGAAGCAGTCTTGAACTCAAAAGCCTGATGAGAAGTGTTCTGTCGATAGGGTTTCGGACCTTTTCTCACACTCACCTTTTCATCAAAACCCTGTTTGGGTCATGTTCGATGCATTTACATGCTGCAAAAGCATGGCTGCATTGGGCTGAACCTCAAAGGGACTCAAGCTTTTTCTCAGGGAGTGTTCACCGAGAAAGCCATGCACTTTGGATCCCAAGAAAGGCACCAGCTGAGAAAGGCACTCCCCAAGCACCACTGATTTGACCCGACCTGTTACAAGCATTTTCCATTGACCGTGCCATCCACTGTTCAAAAGGAACTGAGTCAACTGGGCAGGATCCGATGGTCGTTTGGTGGTGTTGGCGGCCTCCACGTTTGGGATCAGTTTCAGTTTGTTTGAGTCAGCGCGGGTGTACCTTCAGCAATATGGTTTGCATTTGTTTGCTTGATTTTGTGCGACGTGTGTGCCTTTTGACTTGAGGGGAAAAACATCTGCAGATTGAGAGACTTAATGAAAGAACTTGCGCTGGTTCCGCACCTCATGTTTTTGAGGCTTTTCCGAACTAGCAGGTCCTCCCAATCTGTTGGTGTTTTCGGATGTCCCAACCTCTTCCTCCTTCCAGACGCACCCGTTCCGCGACAGCGACGACGGGGATGTCACGACGCCTGCAGCGGAAGGGTTCCGCTCCTCGTTGCTTCGCTCGTTTATCCTCGGTTCGGAACTCTTCCGTCTCAGGGAGAGCGCCAAGAAACAAGAGAAGAAAAAGGCCGAGAAGAAGGCGCCTCCCAAGATGATCCACTCAGCTCGAGCGTGGCTCTTCATTCAGTTCGGTTCCTTTAAGGCTTTAAGATGCTTGCTCCATCTTGTTCCCGTATCTCAAGAAGACCGTCTTGTTGTGGAGAACCGTGGAGACTGGCTGACCTGGGTCGACAAACCCGCCAAGACCGGTGGGATGTTTTTTTTCATCAGAAATGTCTTGAACTGGATCCAGATCATAGTTTCTGTGCCCTAGGGATCCAAATACCTTCTCAGGTACGGTGATGTGTTCGACACTGAGGTTCGGTACGGGATTCCTAGGGGTGAATGTCACCTAACCAAAGTCGTTTCATGGAGCTTCGGGGTGCTCTCCATGGAGCTGGCCATGCCCAGCTGGCCATGATCGACACAACCGGATGGCACGAGCCCACGTCACCAGCGAAGAAGACCCCGCATACACATGTCAGAGAACAGGTCTGACGGTCGGGGGGAACCCGCCTTCGGCTTTGTTCGGCTCACTCTGACAGAGAGGTTTCTGGGAGGAACTAGGAGCGATCGGACGCTACTAGGGGCTCATGGCCTTACTACTAGGAGCAATCGGACGCTACGAACGGAGCAAGGTTAGCTACTAGTCTTTCTATGTCGATCCGCACATCCGCATGCGTTGCTGGTAGTAGTTCCATCCTTATGGGGGTGTCCTGGCTGGACTCCCCTTTTTGGGTCAAAAAAAAGCTGCCACTGCGCACCCCAAAACAGATGGAACTACGCTGTACTATGGCAATTATGCATTGCATAGGACGTCAAGGTGAAGAGGACGACAGAGGACCGTGATGTCGACCGAGGTCGACACAGAACACACACACCGGCCATGGATCGAGAGCAGGTCTCACTCGGTCTCACCAGCCATGCTGGCGCTGGCCATGTGTTATAGCGTTATCATACGTCACTTCAACCAGCACCACTGTCCATGTCTACCCCGACTCAAAGGTTCCGGAAGTCACCCCCGGGTATTTCTTTCTGTTTCATTCCTGGATGGCCCATCCCGCGATGTGACGCATCTGCCCATCTCCCTGGGTCAAGAGACGCATCGTCGCGGACCTCGCCCGTGTCGCGGAGCTCGCCCGCAGTCCAAAGCCTGTCCGTACAAGACACCCTATGGTGGACAACAGCCACAGGTGCGAAGGATCTGGGTCAAGAGGGGGGTCTTGGTCAGGGGGTGATACGGGGGAAGAGGAGGGTCTGAGTCGAACAGAGTCGTACCCGTACCTGTTTGATATGTCTTTTTTCCACTGTACCAAGTCAAAAATAGGGATTCTGTCATCAGTATTGAGACTGCGCAAACGCTCACGGACCTTCCTAAGTAGGGGACAGACCCTGATACGGAGGGTTTTAGGGGTTTCAACTCCGGTTTTGACGAGGGACCAGTCGGCCTGTTTGGAGCGTTTGGGTACAAGACCGGGTCAGGTTTCTTGCCGCCACGGACGTGTCTGGGGTGCCGATCTGGATCCGAGTGCGTCAGATCAATCGGACCCTGGTATTCCACGATTTAACCAATGTGAATCGAAGAACCATTGTTTTACTATAAGGACTTTAGGCCAAGCCAACGAAGCCAAGTCTTTCTTTTAATGGTCTTGGAAGGCTAGGGGGATGTGTTTTGGTATTGTATTCTTCTTCTTTCATTCATGTTTGAGAGGTGATTGATTTTCTTGATGGCAATTCCTTGTGGATCCTTGTGGTTGGTTTCCCTCCAACCAAATCACCATTCAAAAGGAATTTCCGCAAAGACCAGCCTCCATTTGAATGATTTCTGATGATAGCTCTAGACCTCCCGCGGAATCGATGTAAAGGATCTGAGTTGACTGGAACAACCGTTGATCTATTTCTGGTTGGGACTGGTTTTCCAGGTCACTCACAAGACTTGGTCTTAAAAGCTCACCTTTGCCGGCCCATGCCGGCCCCCATCGCACAGGGCCAAGGTCTTCGGTTGTGGATTAGGTGATTGTTAATGTTCCCGAACTGGGTGAATTGCTTCTGGATCTTCTGGGTAATGTTTTACCTTTTGTCGCTCCTTTAAGCAAATCCAAGAAACCTCTGCAAGGCCAACTTGGATGATTTGGATGCAGAGGGCGGTGGTGAAGCGGGTGAGATTTGCTTTGTACAGGCGGGCCGAGTCGAATCACGGACTGCGGACGCCAGTTTTGTGCCATTTTCCTTGTAGACGTGCGAAACTTGGAGAGTTGCTTTGGACATGTGGGAGAGCATCAAAAAAGTGAAATTCAGATCTGTCCTGCTTCATGTAATTACTTTAAAGGACAAGTCAGGGGGCGGACAACCCATTATCATCATACACTTTTTCGGTGAGTGGCTTGAATCTACCCAAGATGTGCATGGATATCAAAGAAACAGGCCGTCCACCGCCAAGATCCCAGTTTTGCCCACCATCGTCACACCGCCGAGCTCACACAGCTCGGCACCGTTCAGGCGCCCCGGCCGGAGACACCGCCGCCACCCACGCCGATCATGGCCTCCGAGGCTCCCGGTGTCATTTGGAGCTCGATGCACATCTCGGTTGGGACCGAGCATTCATAGGAGTTCAACATACGTGTCTAGAGTTATAACCTAACATGACTCCCAAATTTATGAGCATTATGTTATGAATTCCCAAGCCGTCTCTCGCAGCCTCGCATCGGAATCTAGAGGTCTGTTGAACAGTGATCTTCCCGCGCGTCGTGTGGTGCCGACTCATCGCCCTAGTGCCCTGTGAGGCGCAAGCCAAGGCGAGTCCGCTGGAGATCGGGACGCTCGCTACCGCGGAGTCAAAGCGCGGAACCGCATGGCACTCTGAATGTCCATGGCACGCTGAGAGGAAGTGAAGCTGAACATTCGGAGTTCTGAACCAAAAATGCCGAAACGGCCGTTCGTTCGAGAGAAAGGCACAACAAAAGAGCTGTTTTTTTCTAAACGGAACAAAACTTGAGAGGAGTCATGTTCGTTGATGTTAGTGTTTTCCTTAGGTCTCACGGACCTCCTTTTACAGTGTCCGGTGATGCAAATTTGCCGTAGCCGGTAGTCAATGAGGTTGGTCGGACCAGGTTTTACAACCCACTGGACTGGTAGGGAATGATCAGCTTTCTTTGTACCAGTGGAAGACCTGTTGGGCTGAACATGCTGTCCTCGGGAGGGTCATTTTGCTGACTGAAACATGTTAGTCCAACTCTCCAAGCAAGAGGTACAAATTCTACACTCCCTGAAATAGTCATGGAAGTGGATGGCAAGCACTGAAGAAGGATTTGAGTGGGCAATAGTTTTGTTTCATGTCTCCTGAACCGCCTGACAGAACCATCCTGGCCTTGTGGAGGGTCAGTGGATGGGCTAGAGATCACTCGCCTGAGTGGCCAGTTCACCACCAAGGTCAACATTCTCAGGAGATTGGGAGGATATCCTTTACCAGATACAGAGGTTTTGATACTTGCACGTGGCAATCATCGGTTGAGGCGCATTCTGGAGGTCAGCAGCTGTTAGGACAGGACACCACACGCAAAGAACACAACGAAAAACATTATTCTATTGTGAGGCATGAATGCTCAGGATGCGTGGAACATGCTCGAACCCATCTTCTCTCAGGACTCAGGACTCCCATTCCTATTCCTCTTCTCTTGGAATCGGATGAAGAACCCAAGCACCTCCAATTCACAACATGTTGTCTCCAAGCGACCTGACCCAAAAGGCTCCAGAGACTCCAGAGTGAAGGTGAACTAGACCTAGTGTTCTACATCCCGGAAGATTAACATGGAACCTGAAAATGGTCCAACATCATCCAAAATCAACCCTACTTACCCCTGGATGGTTGTTGACCATCGATGACCCGAAAGGGTACACCCTTCCTTGCAGAATCAGTTTTGTGGCCAAACAAGAATGACACCAGCACTTTGCCTCAAACATTTGCCTCATCGGATGCAGATGTCATCCACGGCGGCCAACATTTGCCTCAAACATGAAAGTAATCTTAGTAAAGTCTTAAAACTTTATACAACTAGTAGTCCGCAGATAGATTTGCCAGATCAGTTCCTAAGAATGTATTGAACCATGCGGTCCTTTTGGGACCACTTTTTGGTCAACGAAAAAGTGCCTCGTTCACGTCGTGAAGGCTCCCGAGCTGGGCGAGACAGGCGGGACGGCAGGACGAAGGGTATCGAGAGACTGGAGAGGACCGGAAGACGACCACGTGTTTGAGACACAATGATATCAATTCTGAAAGGATATGATGCTGATATGAGTGATGATATGATATTAATATAGATGTCATATACCCAGATGATTTTGTTGTGCTTGGTCGTGGGCAATCTTTGCGCCATGCATGGATCCTCTGGGTATGATAGATGAATTTGATGTTTGGGGTAGTTAACCCTAGCCTTCCAAGACCTTTAAAAGAAAGGTTGACCTGGTGTTTTATTGTAAATTCCTCGGTAAAACGCTGGTTGTTCGGTTAAAAACAATACATTAAATCAATGGTTGGCCAGGAAGCCAAACGGGCAGATCATATTTTTAATCGAATGCCCTTCGGTCGGGCAGGTCTTGGGGGGGTCCAGTTACCCTACTCTCGAAGCAGAAGAAGGATGACCTGCAAAGGAAAGTGATACTACTTTGTGGTGTATCAAGTGACCATGATCCGGTTCAAGTGACCATGTAGAAGTTCCAAAAGGCTGAGTAGCAAGTGATACTCATTTAGGTGCTTTGGGAGCTTCTTGCTACTCAGCCTTTGTCCTGCAGGCGAGGAGGAGCACGCTGCCCCACCGGCAGTGCCACCCTCTCCGCCGCTGGGCGTAGTATTTGGCCCTCGGAGGAGGTGCCACGGTGGAATGGAATGAACCGAAGCAAAACCTGGTTTTTCTTAAGGTGATCGTATTTTCCGGTTTCTTGAGCAAATCTAAGAACAAACAGTACGGCATTGCCCTACCTTGACCTGAACAAAACGGTACATGGAGATCCACCATGTTGTGGAGGGTAGTCGAGCCAGGAGACCCCGATCGGAAGGTGGTAGACAGCATTCACTGGATGTCATAGAAAACGACGCTGCTCAATCAGGTCGGCTTCATGAGTTTCTTGTTGGTCCGACTGAGCTGATAGACACTGAAACTTCTGATGAACACCTGCACCCAAGTTCCGGCACTGACCCGTGCTCTGGAAGAAGTGAACTGGGCTTCATGTCAATGAACTACAAAAGAAGGCACAGTTTTGGGAAATAGCTTGTCTTATGTGGCAATAAGTTTGTCTTAATCATAATCGTCGTCGCCCTCGTCATGATCAACAACATCATCAATATCAACATCATCATCATCATCAATCATGAATCGTCATCGTCATCATCGTCGTCGTCGTCATCATCGTCGTCATCGTCATCATCATGGAATTCATGGCCCCGTCGTTGTCAGAGACTGACCCGACTGGACCCGCTCAGTGGGGACCAGGGAAAGCATGGGAAAAACCCAGATGTTTGGAACATGACCAGTACCGTGGGGGGCGTTCTTTCCGTGTTGGTTTGCCGAGCTACAAGAGTTCGTCCCTTGAGCTTTGCACCTCAAGAGTTGAGGGTACCGTGGGTTTGATGGGTACCATGGGGGTTGGAGAGGCAAGACACGGCATATGAACTCCAATGCCACACCCGTCGTCTCCCATGACCGGTCCAAGGGTTCCACGGGACAAGTGTGGTCCGATGTACGATACGTACAATGCCTTCATGGAGCTGAGTAAATGTATAAGATCTTCATTTACAACAACCCCATTTGGGGTTGTACAACCTGTTCAGATGCGGGATGTTATCAATAGCATTCTATTTTATATGTATATATATACATTATTGAATGCACGGGCATGGGGTCTTCCTGAGAAGGCTTGGGCATGCCTTGGTACAAGTCTTGTGCGGGCAGTTTCTCAGGCTACGCACCGGCATGCCGGCGTACTCGCCCTTCCAGCAGCCGTATGGGGGCCCGGAAGGTTGCGGAATGCTGGTGATGGAAGAGATGTCCATCATTTGACGGAAGGGGTGTCCATCATAGCGGCTTCGGCGTGCGAAGGACTATCATTGCTCTTGAATCTTGAAGACATCCCAGCAAGGTAAAGGAGAACATGGTCCACAAATGCCCATATCCCATTGCAGATCATTTTGGATTGACATGGGGTAGAGCTTTGACTGGAGGCCATTTGTACTCATTCTTCCTTGCGCCAGCAGCGTTGGGAAGACGTTTTTTGTTGAAAGCAAATCATCCGGTCGCTCTACTTGCTGAGGTTTGCGACTGCCTTTGGAAGGTCTGAAGTCTCTTTGATTTCGAGCCAGGAGTTCGATTCCATCTCCCATCTACTGACAACGTCCCCCAGGCTCCCAATCCGAAAGGGACTAAAGGTATAGTAATGTATACAATAAGCAAAGTGTATCTCTACCAGCACCCAACAGTCATGTGAGTCGTGAGCTTCACTTCCCCAAAACACACCGCCTGTCCCTGTCCGCCGAAGCGCCACCCGAACGCGACCCTCGTCGCAAGGCAAATCCCTCGAGGCTATGGCGGACGCGAGGAGGCGGGACGGAGCCGCGCGGAAGCGGCGACGGCCACGTTTGCAGTCGCACATGAGTCCGTTTTCATCCCGGTGTTTGCACGTATGTCTTTGGGTGTTTGACCGGTCAGTTTTTCAGCTGTGATCCATTTTTTGCGACATGCCGTGAGGGACTTCGGCCACTCCTTGTGCTGAAGAGGTCAAGTTGTCCTCTTAGTTGAAGTTGTGAGGTCTCGTCACCATACCCAATGGGCATGATCCCCGAAACAACATGCACTGAAGAACATTGTGCAGAACATTATATTTATATTATTGCAAAAATTATTCTGAAACTCAGTCTGTGGGGAGGGTAGTTGCATACATTGACCCCTGAAATCACCTCGATGTGTATTATAACTCTATGTTTGCCAGTCCCACAGAGTGTGGGTAAGCCTGCAGCCAAAGATGGGACCACCATCCTGCGACTGTTCTTTGACTCTGATCTCTGGTCCGAGTTCGTGAACGAACGGGATCAAATCGATGGTGGATGTCTCAGAGAGGACACATGCTGGTTTAAACTGTTTAAGAAGTTTAGCAGTTTTGGACGTTCAAAAACACATGCTAGTAGTTTTGGACGTTCAAAAATGGCTCAAGTTTAAGAACACATGCTGGCGGAGTTTCAGGTCGGGGTGCTATCCATGGAGCTTCTCGGGATGCCTGTCACATCCCCCCCTCACTGGATGGGACGAGCCACACCACCCAACTTCATGTGACCCCTGCGGGATGTGTATATATTCAAAACATACTAAACTGGGGAGACCTGTCACCCAACTTGCCATCCGGATGTCACGGCCCTTTTTGGTGACCAATCCTTTGCCCTGCCGCAGCGGACGGAAAGCCTGGTCGCACCGGGCTTTAAAAGCCTGGTCCGACCAAGCTCATCTGGTCGATCCGCGCTTTTTGCAGTTGAAATGAGGTCCTTGATCTGTAAGTGTCTGTTTTTTTTTTCACGCCCACGCTGAAATGTTAATGGGATGCAAACTGCTGCAAAACCAGTGACTCTCCAGGTCGGGAAACGGGTCTGTCAGACAGGGTCGGGAGACCTGTGTGGAACTGGTGGGTCGACCTCCCAGACACAAACCAATGGGAGGTGTCCATGTTCCTTCTTTTTCGAAGCGAGCTTTCAGGGACCTCTTCTCTTCCACACGTCCGTGTCTTGCGGAAGAGCACAGAGCTACTCCAGGCGGAGATGCAGAAGGAGGAATTGCCCGAGGCGCAGAACTGCACCGGTGCCGGAACGTCTCGCGGACGGTCTGGGCGAGGGTGCGTTAGGTCATCGATTCGATGGAATTCTATACCAGCACCTTCCACAGGTCACCAATTGAAACCAGTTAGGGCCTAACAACCCTCCATTTCGGAGACCTGTTGGAAGGTGCTGGTATATGCTGGTATGGAATTCTAGAATTCGTCCCATTTTCTGTGCCCACGGACAGTAGATCCACGATGATCTACAAATTGTGTGGCCTGGGAGGCATGCACTCATGCACTCCTTGAAATAAGAATGCAAGTGGAGTTCACCACCTGTTTGCTTTCGGAAAATTGTCATCCAAGACTGTAAGGGACCATTTTCCACGCAGCCATGATTATTTCAAGGAGTGCAATTGGGACCCTGTGAAAATCTGTGATCTCGTTGCCGAGGGCCCGTTCTGAGAGGCATAGGACGAAGTGGCCCCGAGGACAAAGTGAGCTTGATGTACCATGGAAGACACGACTATATAGTGGGCCTGCCATATTTGTTTATTTTTGTTTGCATTGGTTCAAAAGGAATGTCAATGTCAGCATAATTATACCATGAACATTTGCTTAAACACTAACACTTGGAACCGTATCCTCTTTTAGTAATAAAACATAAGAGCATTATGATCAATTCATTATGTAGTAGTAGTAGTAGTAGTAGTAGTAGTAGTAGTAGTAGTAGTAGTAGTAGTAGTAGTAGTAGTAGTAGTAGTAGTA